CTTAAATCGAAATTGCCTCTCATCAAATGTGGACAGCACATTATCAAGCTTGGAAATGTCCCCAAAATACTTTCGCGTTTGTCGAATCCCACGCGATGTTTGACGCGACTACGACGCTATGACCTTTGTTTGTCCTGTTTTTACGTTCGATTTCATGCATAACGCGTGATTCTCGCAGTGAACGATTGAACCATCCATACTTTTTGTAGAAGTATGACCTCTCAGATTTAAACCATCCGTAGGGGGGGGGGCTGGAATGACCCGACTGCCACCGCGGGGCTAGGGTCTGGCCTGTACACAGACCCAACGTGTAACCTGATAGATGAAGACCAAGATCTACCTGGACTCAAAACGACCCATAATATATAGGTATTGTCTGTTGGTATACGAAGCATCATTAGTGTACAGACTCCGACAGACAAAGATAAGACCTACCAGTATCTGGACAGAACCATAATAAGGTCACATGTCGTGTAGTGTTGCAATTTCTTGATATTACGATCAGAGTATGTTACGATTCTCAAAGTTGACTCTATATACTAATTCGGTTTCATACTAATTTTCATGATTGAGTGACTTTTTTTCCGTAAAAAATTCTGGTTTTATAATAAACACAACAGCAGACTTTTATATACACTATTGTCTTTCATACTTAAAGCGGGAGGGTCGTCACATGCGCACGCGTGGGAAATGAGTTCCAAGCGACAATAACAACACGCGCTAAAAACGCAAAGGCTCATGGGTAGACGCTTGTTTGTAAACAATGACACGCTATGGTCATCTGTCGCATACGCAGTTGACGACTCCCCCGCTTTAAATGTTAGTGCTAAATATTAGGCATGGTTTTTATTAAAAGCATTACATTTTCCCAAAGAAAACACCAAAAAGTTGATTATATTTGTATATGCAGAAATGTCTTGGAAATCAGCATTTACTGTCATTTACTAAAACCTGAAAATTATTAATTATATTTTAAATCTAAATCAGAGGCTAATTTTAGCGTCATTTCATTCAGTGAGGTCTTTATCACAAGTCATAACTGTCGCATATCTATAGATAACAAATCTATCTTTTTTTTGATAGTTTTATTTGGTTGTCAAACTATCAATAATGTTCAAATAATAACCAAATTAAACAGATAATTAAGATTCTGAGAATTCTGAAATATCATCCTGTCTTGTGCAGTCATTTTGCTTCAGATCTGAAACGCATTAAAATCAAATACTTTGTGTCTCAGTGTTGCATGTGACATCATGGGTTGTTGGATATTTAACCGCTGTGTGAAGTTCCATTTCTTGGAACCCAAATATCAGTACCAACTGATTCCAACGCATTGTCTGATTTCCGTTCCTTGTATCTATCACTTTAGACTGTACTGTCTGATTTGACATGTCTGAGATTTTGTATCTGAACGTTGGTGGCGTCATCTACACGACAACGAGAGCTACTCTTCTTAATTATCCGCACTCAATGCTAGGATCTATGTTCAGTGAACGTGTACCGACTCAACTTGATCAAAATGGACATTATTTTATCGACAGAGATGGCGAGATTTTCAGGTACGTCTTGAATTTCCTGCGATCTACGCGACTAAGTTTGCCGGAGAATTTCAAGGATTGGGAACTCCTCGCAACTGAAGCTGATTTCTTCCAGATTCCGGAATTGATTGAGGCAATTCACCACGCACGTGATGAACGTCAAAAAGCCGCAATACCTGTGCATAAACCACAAACGATAATCGAATTAGAATGCAAGAAAGAATCGATGCGTGTGATGTACTTTCGTATTTATGGAGAACTTTTTATGCTAGAGGATATTCCAACTATTAAGTTAATTACTGCGAAACAAGTCGGCTGGTATCGTGAAGGTCATTGTTTACATATACACGGTGATGTCGAAGACAGACACAGCCTCATACAAGACTTATGTGATGCTGGATTTGATTTGAAATTTAGCAACGTTTCATTGGCCAGTATTAGCGGTGTCGGTGTTACAGGAACCACCACAGCCACTGTAGAGAAATGGTTATTTACTAAAACCAGAGAACCGGGTCATATTGAAAAACGTGCAATAAATTCTCATTAACTCCTTCACTGCTGTTAATAACTATTGTAACCTTTCACTAATAAAAAAAAAGTCCCTGATAATCTGGTCGTGCTTGTCATATAATAAATGTTGAAATTAAAAAAAAAAATATTGAATCATGAACAATAATTCTTGAAAATGTGTGCCGCGAAAATATTTAAAACACCAATGTTTTGTTAGAAAAATAATGTGTTAATTGCATATGCTCCATGCCAGTTAACGTGAATAGTTATTTTAGCTGAAATATTTTTTGACTGAAAAGAAATTCTTCTGTGTTGTATCTGGAGTAAGGAATAACTTTCTTTGGTCAGTGATAGGCTGGAATCCAGTCATTCCAAGTACCCCAAGTATGGCCTGATGAATTGCTATTCATCTGCTGTAGTTGTCCGAGTATATCCCCTTCTCAAATTTATGGCATCTTACAAAAATTTCATTTATCTGATTATAAACCAACATGGACAAATAAAAATGAATGAGACCTACTGTAAAATGACTAATTTTCACTGGGTTTAAATTTCACTGATTTACCATTTCAGGCATAATCAGTGGGTTTTAAATTCACGGTTTCGTCATTTAGATAATGTGTTCTATGTTAAATTTTACATATTCACTGTGTTTTAATTTAGTGCATTTTTCCAGTCAGCGAAATAAGCTAAATTAAAACCCAGTGAATAATTACCCCCTTTACAGTAATGTTTTTCTGTCGTCAAGCTAAACATATTTTCGTATCAATCATTCATTCTCCAGGGTGACCCCTTAAAGTCTTTAGGGGGAGGGGGGATCAGTATGGTGTTACATACATACTAATCACAATGCTTAATACTGCATGAAAGGGCGTTATGCACGGCGAACAAGTAAATAATGACCTCAAGCTAGTATATAATTTATTCAAGGTTTTTAATAAGTTGTAATGTATACTTGGTAATGGACCGTGGCTAATAATGACCAAGTGAATTTCTAATATTTTCTGGAATCTAACATTTTGGATTTTGGCGTAATTTCAACTCATAAATTGGTGGCAAGAAATCACAATTTAGTGTTTAGCTGTAGTTTTTAAAGTTATGCTTGTGGTGGCAATATCAGTATTCAAAAATAGGATTTTAAAATGAACAACATCAAAATCTTATTTTCAATTTGATGTTTTTTATTTCATTGACATGCTAGGGGATACTGTCATGGGCCTAGTGATAATAGATCAAAGGCAAGCGAAATCAACAATGTATTCAGTCAGTTATTATCCCGGCGCTTCGTTTACGTGATGATCTTGTGGGTGACCTCCAATGTACAATATATAACAGTAACGTTTTTCGTTGTCTGTCTGGGAAAATAATGGACAGAATAAGGTTGGGGACATCGGAGTTAATTTTCTGGTACAGACCAGTAATACATTCCTTGTTCGGAATATGAATATTTATATAGGAACAGGGATAATCATGGCTCTAACACTAATTTGAATAATGTAGAATACTTTATTTTCACAGTATTTATTGATCAGCAGACTTTTCATGATTTTCTCAACCCGAATACTCCAAATTTAATGAATAAATTAGCATAAAGTTTTGATTTTTTTTTTCGTTTATGAGCCTTCCTTTATTTTTTCATTGATTTGCTGTTTTTGTTTTTTTTACTTGGACAGCTATTGTATGTACGTTCATTCTACACAGAATTCTAAATTCACTACGTTCA